GCTGATTGCGACTTGACCAGGGGCGTCTTGCTGTTCACCGAGGCTCTCACATGCTCACATGCTTGAAGCAGCGAGCTGCTTGCTGGACTAGAGCGAACCACTGCTTCAATTCGGGACGCTTATCTCAGGAACACCTCCATCACCATACAGAGTTTCCGCTCGTCCAGTTCGCCATGTTACCTGACCCTCCCGTGCTAGCAAAGTGGGTGGTTGGGGGTGGACCAACCGGGGATACAAGCTCTCAAGTGAGGGGAAACCCCAAAGTCCAAGGTCGTATTCATTTTTGCCTGTCCGCCGATCTACATCACGCGGCACACGTCTCCCCGAGAACTTCCCCGTCTTTTTCCCACTAGCTTAATCACAAAGTCCATGTATCCCCGTCCCCCACATTCCTTGGAGCTCTTGTTCTGTGATGCAATCATGAACCGCGGGGAAGAAACTGGGACCCAACAAACATTGTGGAGAGACACAGCATCACTTGTGCCGTAAACCCGGGAACCTTCTTCTCCGTACGTACCACGCAGTCAAGCCTGAGTCAAAGAACTAGAATCAGCAACGAGAAGCTACTCGATTTCAATTGACGCGCTGCAGCCCGAGCAACCCGAATGGTGCAAGTCACAGCCAAATGAGCATCCCACCCTCGGCGTGAGCGGACAGCCCCTCGCGATGCTAGCTCGCGACTTCAAGCGCGTCGTCCTCATCGTTGGGCCTTTTCTCTTCCTTGTTTACATTGGCATTCGATGTCTCGACTTCAGGGACTCTTCATCAGGGTTTAACACCTGGTTCGATCACATCTTTGCGCCGAATTGGAGGCAAGCCGATGAGCTCAAACCTCACTCCCGTCCGGCCCCATCGGCTGCTGCACCTCCACCTGCCCCGGAGGACACAGGACCCCCTATCGCGGTCCCTCCAACGGTCCTACCACCGACGCCGCCTTCGGATTCTATCCCGATTGCCACGGAGCGGACACATCATGAGGTCTTCTCAATATCTACGTTCGACAAGAGGTTCTTCCCCATACACTTCGGTGACGAAGATGCCATGAATCCCAACATCTTGCCCCATCCTACTCTCGATAACACATACATCATTGTTGCGCAGAGGCGCAAGTCGCACGATGACAAGACAGCAGAACATTTCGAGCTCGTATGCAATGCTATCTTCACCATGGAAGGCCTCTCCTGCGTAGAGGCACCAACGACGCTTCCAATCGCTGCCACGAAGAGTGGTGATGATAAGTGTCCTCCAAAACTGGCCTACATCGCCATGAACATTGGGCCTCACGATGCCCGTGTTTTCCATGGTCCGAAGGCACCATTCATTACCTTTGGCTCCAACTCGCTCTACTGTTGTTTCGGACAATTCATGCAAGATTTCCGGACGCTGGGCAACTGGGGGTTCCAGATGTCACTGGATCAGGGCTTCAGCACTGGCACTGAGCTACAGCGCCCACCGCCTTGGGGGGCCATGGAAAAGAACTGGTTCCCATTCTGGGATGAGGATGGTGTCGTGTACGTGCACCACGATGTGGCGCCAAAGAGAGTGTTCTCGAAGCTCAACCTCGACGGCTCTGTGGGGCCGGACCTGGCGCTTCTAGCCCCCGGAGATGAGGCATGTTTAGAGAGATACATGCCGAAGCTGCCGCCGGACTTGGAGTCCATTCATCAGGCGACCAACTCCCTGAGCATTACGTTCTGCAAACGGATGGACGTAAACTGCAAACCCACCAGCGACAACACATTCATCTTCACGATCTTCCAGCACAAGACTTTCTATCACTTCCACAGCGAGTATGAACCGTACGTCATGGTCTTCCGGCAAAAAGCGCCCTTCGAAGTCTTTGCCGTCTCGAAGAAACCCATATGGATACACGGTCGGGAGAAGAAGGACACTGGGGCGTCTGACATGTTTTATGTAACGTCGATGAGCTGGAAGACGAAGGGACAAAGGTATCATGGATACATGGACGACACTCTTTTCCTGGCCTTCGGTATCGAAGACAAGATGGCTGGTGGTATTGACATTACCGCCGAGGACTTGCTATCGGAGCTTGGGACATGTCTGGAGACCTGATATTCCTATGGTAAGTGTATTGGGCGGAATACGGATACCAAGTTCAGCTTAGACAAATAATTACTGCTTATCATAATGAAGCATCATAATTCCCCTTGAACTTATTTGTGCTTGTAAACGCGTTTTTGCGTGCCTCTTCAGCGGATGTCTGTAGTTTTCCAAGCCTGATGCATACCTTTTCCTCGTGACTAGAGCTCACTGAAGACGATCCCGAGCACACTAGACAGAAGGTGATCCGATCCTATGGAAATAACGTCTAGTGTTACATCACTGAGCTTAAATGTGCACCTGTGACCAAGACCATGTCACCGTCCGTCCGTATTCGAGACTTCTCGTGGCGGTGTTGTTCTTCTAAGAAATTGCCAGAGGCGGAAAAGCCCATTATGATGTCTCAGTCCCTGAAAGAAAGCATTTTGCTGGTCGTGAACCCGACCTCATGGTACTAGACAACTGACTGACAGGGATCATGAGCGACAGACCATACGCGAATGATTAAAGGCAATAGAATATGCTTGATGGAACTACTCGCCGCAATTCTTGCTCCATAGATTTTTTTTTTCTTGACGTGAAACTCTTGTTACAGAGATATCTACAACATCAGCGACATCAACATTCCAATGAGCCACAGTTAAGCAGCCACTACCTAGATCGTGCCTGCCCCGTCCACTGATTCAGCATGAAGAATTGCCGGACTGCATCCGGACAACCAAGACATTATGGCCGCATCGGGCATTCGGGTTCTCGCATCCAACATGAATCGAGCCACCGAGAACAACGCAAGGACAAGCCACACGAACGTCACCGACCGCCGCTAGGGGTCTGGCTCCACCGGAAGCGGTCTTCTACACTAAGCAATTCCAATTTCGGGCGGAGAACCAGCTCCGTGAAGGCGCCTCGAAAGCCAACAAAGTCGGCTGCATGTCTCTGCCTTGTTCACGAGGAATTTCCCCAGAAAAATTTTTGAATTCGTCTTTTCGCCAAGGGAACCGAGCGAAGACGTGCTGAGACGACGCCTCCATAAAACCCTTTCGTAGTCGAAAAACCCTCCCTCTGTCACCTCATGCATTACTATCCGCCAGGCGTCAAGATGATCAAACCGGATCATTCAATCACCTTCGCGAATCTCGCGTCGGTAAACTTTACACTACTCGAACACACATACCCGACCGCACCAGATGTAAAGATGAGAGAAGATATCACCAGCAATACGCTCGAGATGAGAGATGGCAAACAACTCATGTCATGGAACAAGGGGTGCTATTTCGGCAAGAGTGGGCAAGATGATGTCGCACTTTGTTGGCAGGATATGGAGGCACTACAGTCATTTTGCGTCGGCATCGAGTCGCCTGAAAGAGGGTTCTTCAAACCCATCCAGTCACACTACAAGACGAAGTACAACGACGGCACCACAAATTCGGCTTGGATGTTCCCATCCAATGATCCCGCTGTTGGCTACACATATCCCGGTACTCTGAACTACCACATCACGGTATCAAGTATAGCGTTGAAGGATCAACTGCACTTGAATGTCACGATCGTGGACAAATCAGCGGCACCAAAGGCCGACGAAAAGAAATGAAAGGTTAAGACAAAGGTCTTGAGCTTGGTGGGTTTGAATACTGGACTGACCCTGCCTTCAACAGGGAATCGGATGATATAGTCACGCAGAAGGCCGGAAACCCATTCGTGGAGTTGATGTAACATATCATGCTGGTGTATTATGTATTTGAAGGAGGGATCTTCAAAGGGGCGTCATATGAAAAGCTGTTTTAGGGGATCTTCCGATCTTATGCTATTTTATAAGCGACACTTGTGAAGCACATCTTTCTCAAATCGTCAGGGTCGAAATGATTCATCAGCCTGTAAATTGCCGTTCACATCTGTTGATCACCATCGACATTATTCCCGTCACTTGTGTATCTCGCCCATTAGCACGCATTTCCTTAGGATTTGATGATTCCTGTATCACATTCGAAGCAATAGAATAGGTTGCTTGAATGTCGAAGGCAATAATGATTGATCCATCAGACGATTTGGTATATGATTCAGCACTATGAACTTCTATCCCTTGTCAAATCAGAGTGTTATGGTGAGGTATTGAATGTCGAACGAACTTTAGCTTACTATCATGATGGCCCAGTGCTACTGGAGTTTCGTATTACACGTCTCTCAACGACCCTCTAACCGAGACCATCGCGAAGAAATTCTCAATAACGTGGGCCATAGCAATATAGTAGAAGGACGTCGAATCAGTAGAGAATAGACTGAGTAAGGCAGTTTTACGGTCAACTTTCTTTTGGTCACACTAGTTATTGTTGCGGTCTTGAGTTTGAGGTTGAGGTTCTTTGGCGTGTTTTCAGCATTTAAACCCAAGAACAGCCCCGTCCACAGATGATTGGAATACCCTTTTCAATCTTCAGTGAGTCATGGAGTTGATTTGACGGAGCCAGCATGCCTTGGTTGAAGAAGGCAGAATTATACATCAGCGAAGGCATATATGAATCCAGTGCCCAATCAAAGGGCTTGCCAGCCTCAGCAAATACAATGAAAGTGGCATTAGTACTTGGAAAAACGTTTCAAGGGGGGTTTCGTAGAAAATCCAGCTTATAGACATACACTGTTCATCTGCATGTGTTACCTCTATGCTAAAACGTGATCATTCAGCACCGAAACAACCGGGGATCCTAACGTCTCTCATCGGCCTCAAATCCACCATTCCACATTCTGAAGATTTGAATGTTGCTTCAGTGGACCTGAACCCTTGAACCCTTGCTTATGCAGGGATTATGGACCTCCAAACGGGGCGTGGTTCCGTTAGCCCTAATGAAGGCGTCCAACCGGGGCTTCTCATTCACGAGATCCACAGACTGCACCAAGGGCTCGCATCATGAACCCGCCGGGGACAGAACTCCTCAACAATCCCAGATGGTTTCGTGGTGTAGTTGGTTATCACGTCAGTCTAACATTCTGGATCGTCCCCTCGGACGGTTCCCAGTGTTCCACTGAAGGTCTCCGGTTCAAGTCCGGGCGAAATCAACCGTTGGGCGAATGGTTTAGTGGTATAATACTCGCTTAGCATGTGAGTGGTCCAGGGTTCGATTCCCTGTTCGTCCAATCTTTTGCTTCTGTGGTTGGATTGAAATCTTTTTGGCTCGTTGCTGAAGTTGTGGTGATGGTTTTGTGTGGACCTCATGGACTTCTGGCCGACAACCAGGAGGCGGAGGGGCAAGATTGTTTGAATCATGGATGTATAGTTAGGGCTGCCTGCATTATCAATCCTTACTCTTTCCTAATCGTATTCTCAGAAGGTGTATGGGTGAACGCTGTCACTCCGTCTTGTCTGACTTCCGCCCAACCATCAGATACATCGGCGAAAAGATCTTCTCTCTCCCACCAAAAACCAATGCGTCGGCCGCACGGATTAGACTATCCGAAGTCTTTGTCATCCCAGGTGGCGCAAATCTCAACGTTTCCATGACACTCAAAAACCCGTGAGTCGCCATCCTCCCCAATCCCGTCATGCGGAACGTGTACAGCAAGTCTCCCATCGTCTGCGCGTGCCGCCAGCTTCCGGCGTCGAGAGGCCAGTACTACGGGCTTGGGTCCGGTCTATCTGCCATATCCTCGTTCTCAAGAATCTCGAAGCCAGCGGCTTCGAAGGCGCGCAGGGCCTCGGACGCCTTCACCATGTTGGCGATGCCGTTGCCCTGCTCGATCTCGATGCGTGTCTTGCGATGGGAGAGGTTATCATTATCGTAGGCTTCGGTCATGACCCATTCGTAGACGCCGAAAACGCCCCCGGGCTTGAGGACGCGGTGGATCTCTGAGTAGACGGCTTGGAGGGATGGGGCGTGGACTGTGGCTTCGATGGCATAGACGGCGTCGAAAGTGTTATCCTCGAATGGGATGTTCTAGATCATTGGCATTAGAGACGTCGTGTGGAATGTTCTTGAACAAGGTTGACTTTACCATGAAGTCGGCCTGGACGAATTGCACGTTCTTATCCATGCGCTCTTTCTTTGTATACCGCATGGCCCTCTCCACCTGGTACTCGTTGATGTTGAGCCCAGTGACATACGCCCCCGTGAACTTTGCAATCTCGCGAGTTGGGCCACCCACACCGCAGCCAACGTCCAGTACCTTCATCCCCTTCTTGATATTTATCATATGCGCAAGATAATGCTCATGTCTAGCAATGCCCTGCTTGAAGCTTTCGGCAATAGCAGGTCTGCAGAAGTGAAAGCTTTGACCAAAGCCATACTCATAGAAGTCGGTTGCTAGATTATAATATCTGATGGTTTGACATTTAGAACAAGTCCAAACATCGAGAAGATTGCGGCATCGACTTACTGCCTCGTGAGCGAATCATACTCTGCGGCTCGGGCCTGAGACAAGCAGGTCAGAAGGCGGCTTCCGCGCGGCGGTCAGCTTGTGGAACTTACCTCTCTGTCCTCTTTCGTCTCCTTCTGAGCGTTGAGTTTGTTGTCCCAATGTCTGAAGTAGTCTTCCGTCGCAGCCTTCTGAGCTTCGTGGTCCTTTTTCAACATTGCTGACATGCCAACGTTGCCTTTCGACGTTCCCTTGTGAAGAATCTGCTCAAAAGTAGCATCTCTAGCAAGAAGCACTTCGCCCAGTTCTGAACGTTCCACCATGTTGAAGGATAATGGAGTTGGTGTTCAAGCAAATGTAGACTCTCTAGGGGACTTGTCCGCGGAGTGATAGACGTGATGTGAGCGGTTGATGTATCAGATCATGTCAGAATATCTTGGAGATGTCCCTTTTCTTTTGTAGCCGCCTCGAGAACATCTCAATCCTATCTCAATGAACGATATAACATCGATGGCTGATAGCCAAGCACGCGGAACGAATACGTGATAAGGATAAGAAAATCATCTACGAAGGCTGTATCCGAATACGAATGCGCTCCAAAACTCCAGCGGCGCAGCATTGCGACCCTCTCCTAACATAATCTGATTGGTCCCTTTCTCGAAAATGGAAGGACGGTGGATTTTGGAAATGATGAAATCCGTCGCCGCGACAGCTCTTAGGTCCGGCATCGTAAAGGCGAGGCAATCTCACACGATCCATCCTAGGCTTTCCTCAGAAAATAGCCCGCGAGATTGCTCAATTGTGCCCGTCGAGCTTTCTGTCATTGCCTCTGGACCCGGTTTTCTCGACCTGAAGTGGGAACGGCCTCGGAATTAGGAGTGCGCCCTTGACCGGCTGAGTGAATCCGAATACGAAGGGAACAATATTCGAGAGTACCCAGTTGAGACCTACCCATTTCCATGCGATAAACTCATGGAGGCACTATTATGGCGTTTTCTGCAAAGCCTTCGCAGAGCGAGTAGATACATTCATCTCATGTGCGCAACCTGACTCAACCAAATGTGCCAAAGACCTGCCCCCTGTTCATCCAAGAAATCTGAGGGCTTGAACCTGAAAAGTGTTGGATGAACATGAAAGATAATAAGCAGCACAAGAAAGAATCATCTATAGGTTGATATGTCGTGCATTATGCAGTTGGCAAGTTCATGGGTGATTCGTTGAGAATTTCGAGTGCTTACGTCGTACGAAGCAACGATCTGATCAAGATCACCGATGCATTTGGGGTGTCACGGAGATCACTGCTCCACGAATTACATTTAAGCTCACTGGATCCGACATGTGATCAACGACTGGTCGCCGGCTTGGTGGAATGGCCGGTGAGCCCAGGGCTACCATCGTGTCCCCGGCGGAAGAAACATCTTGCGATAACAATTGGCGAGCAGACTCAACGCCATCAATGACTAAGCATTTCAATTTGACGCAGACCAGCATCCGAGGGTGTGGCGTACCTTCCATGCTCGTCGATCAGCCGGTCTAAAGCCGGTTCCCGAGACCGCCTCCACCAGGTGGTCTCCTCCGAAGCGGAGGCGCAGAATCCACGGCGGACGGCACGTGGGTCTCGGAAGTTTTCAGAGAGATTCTGCAGCCAGTTAGGTGTAGAAGGCCCGGCAGTCGACTCCGTGCCCTTGAAGCATGCCTGTCTCTGAACACCATACAACAACGATACCAACCGCCCATGGCGCGGTTCGTCGACAAACATCGTGTCATATGACTTTGAGCCAGCAACAGCTTAAGCGTTATTTCGCACCAACACGAACGACTGCCCACTTGGCGGCGGCAAACACCAAAGACAGGGCCGGGGCTAGCAAGGAGACGATGGACGGAACCGAAGCTTGGCACCGGCGCGGGGTTGGCTTGCCTGGGCGCGGAGCATCAAGGCCGAGTGCGGGGAAGAGAGATGCTGCAGCAATCATGAATGACGAGGAGACGGGTGCACATAACCGGTGGGAAAGGGGAGTTCTATCTGGTGTCACAAACTTCTGTCTCGCTTCATTCTCGAGCAAGTCTCCCCGATCAAACCTAGATTTAAGGGGGGAAAGCCCCGTGGGGAAAGAAAAGCAGTGATGCCCAAAATAATCCCACGATAATGCCCAGCGCAATAACATCTTATCGGTGCGACCGAGTCGTGTCTAAACAATGATCTACCCCTCGTGACTTGCCGGAGGCTTCTTTAAACTTTCAACGACATGGAACTTCAACAGTCTGGGGCTTGCGTCGGAGGACGGCACTCAAGCTCGCCAGCCCCAACCGCTATTGAACTCTCAACGTCGCGCCTGCCTATCCGTACCGACCAATCGCTTGAATTGTTCGGGCCAAATCTGTTTGTTTCTGCATATTCCTCGATGTAGCTGCGGAGATACTCGATACCTCACGGGGGCCACAGATGTCTTGGGTTAATCGTGATGACAGGCACCTGCATCAACGTACGAACTAAGAAAAGAAGCCGGCCCCCAAAAACAAAGTAGGCCGGTCGATCTGTCAGATCTCAACGCCTTGGACGAATAAACAGGTTACAGGAAAGGGGAGGGGAGCTGCCAGGAAAAAACCGGCGGCACCAACCAACAGCTGCTGCAATAGTTCGACCCCAGAGAACCCACAAGCATCGTCCCATCTAAACCCAGCCAACCAGCAGAAGATGCAGGGGGCCCTAGTTTCAGCGACGTCAGGCGAAAATCCCCAATTGGCCAATCCGGGAACCGAAATCTCGCAGAAACTCTCGCGCCAATAGCCGGTGGGTGGAAGCACCGAACATTCTCTCAGCCGTGATTGGGAAGAGACACGGTTGACATGGTTCGCGTCTTCTAGCCTCAGAGGCCTTACCCGGCGAGGAAAAGCTCCCAGGCCAAAAACAGCGCCAGGCACGCCACATGGCGCAGGGATGTCCGCGGTGTCGCCGGCCACACGGTCGCGGAGTCCAGAACTGTGATGCATGTCTCGCCTTTCTCCAGTGGGTTTGCTGGCGCGCCCCATTGTACGAGCAACCATTTTCTTGGGATTTTTTCCTTTCCTTCCAACACCAGTGGATCGGCAGACGACATCCCTTTCTCCATCCTTCTGAAGCGGCGAGTCTTTCCCGTCCTGCTCAACCCATACTACAGCACACGGAACCCCAGACCAGCCCATCCGTCTTCTTCCCCGCGCGAGCCAATGGGTCGTGGAGAAAGTGGAGTTGCGTCGTCCTAGTGCCCGGGGACTCTTGCGTGGGTTAGGGTGCCAGGCAGGGCTGCCGGACGGGTTTCTTCTTCTTTTGCATTGAACAACTTAAGACACAAGTGGCCCATGAGGTCAACATCCTCTCCAGCTTCCACGCCACCTTCGAATGAATTTGAGCGAGCCAGTGAGAGGCCGCGAAACCTCCAACACCAACCCGGTCGCCTCCTGAAGGGAGCATCACCATCATCCCTTGGCAGCGGGCAGCAGGTTGGTTTACATTTCAGGAGGATATAAGACGGCCGGATGTCCCAACTCAAACAACGATTTGATACAGCCAGCTCCAACAGCTTCATCGCGATCGAAGCAGAGCAAGCTCGAATACATTCAGCTTGCCATCGCATTCATACCAACCAGCTCGACTCTCCAGTAGATCGAGCCCAGATCTTCCTGCACTTCTACTTCGCCCAGCGCGAACATCTTTTCACCAAACTTGA